AATTTATATAATTGTTAAATTTATATTTTTTAGCACAAGACCTTTATCGAAATGAATAATTTTTTACAGAAATATCTGATTTCAATGTACTAAATTTATAACTGTCGAAATATTTCCCTTTCAGTCGAAATTTTATATAATATGATAATAATTGAGAATTTAATTTCTTCAGAGTATTTTTTTTTCACAAATGTTAATCGTTTTTAAAAAAATAATAATTTTTGGTACGGGAAGTTCCAGCAATTTGCCTTAAGGCACGATGCCATGCGCCCCACTAGTTTAGTTTTCAATCGTGATTTATAATATTTTTGTGACGTTTACCAGAATGAACACCGTAAGCAAATTAAATCTTAAATCAAATTATTTAAACATTTCCCGGAACATTCACGAACGTCATTTTTCACATTTCTTTTGAATTTATAACCGTCCAAATTTATTTAAATTTGATAAATTGTGATATTTTGTATTTAAAATGTTATTTGTAATATTGCCTATAACATAAGTTGGAGTAATTAACGTATTTGTACCGTTATGAATTCATTAAAAGTTGAACTCAATATTTTTTTTACGATAGATGTTAAATTCAATATGTTGCTTTTTCATTGTGATCTATAATAATGTTTTGAGTACGTTTCAGTATCTGAACTAAATCAAATCAAATAAATCTAAATTATTTATCTAATACTTTCCATAAATATTGACATATTCATTTCACTTTTTTTTAGTTCAAAATTGTCAAAATTTATTTAAATCTATAAGCATTATATATTTCCGTGATATTGAATATAGCATTTTGCCGAATTTGGATATTTATATCTATTTCTTTTTCAAAAATATTAGATTTTTTGTACTGTTAAATTTTGTTTTTGTGTCAATCGAAATCAAAAATAGGGTTTTCTCGAAGTTTTCATGAATACTGACAACTGTCATTTCAGCGTTTTTTTTTAGAAAATATCTATCAAAATTTATAGAAATTTATAAAAATTATATATTTTTAATATTACATGCAATTTTTGATATAGCCTAAGATGGATCACCTAAGTTGGATATATATGCACATGATGTGCCAATAAAATATTTAAAATCGGTTTAGTAGTTTAGGCGTCCATCCCGAACCAACATCGTGGCACAAACTTTATATATATACTAGATGACCCGACAGGCGTCCTATACCCATGTCTACAATTCAAAAGTTCCATTTTTTTTTAATAACCTTAACCGTTACCAATTAATTAACTAGTTGATTTGGTATTTAGCCTTGAGGCAAGTTACATGAACTTCCCGATATGTGTATATAATCGACTTAATCAAAAAAAATGTGTAAATAATATACTTCATCAATCCTACTTTAAAAAAAACGATAATAATTTTAGCAAAGTTTCATGAATTTTTAAAATTAAACTACTTGACGTAAGGCCGTAATATTACAGTAAGTTCTATAAGACCACGATGTATATCGTCAAAAAAAGTTCCATGAAAATCGTCTTAAATTTTTTTTTCAACAGTTAATTACAAGAAAACGGCTCGGTAGATTTTCACCTAAAATTAATCAGTACCATTCCCAACTAATATCTTTCGAATAGTTTTTGATTTTTTAAAATCGGTTCGGTAGGATGAGCTTAAAGGTGGACGAAAAGTTTAACACTTTTTTTCAAATTGCAAAGAAACGGCTTGGCAGATCGTCGCACAAAACTGACAAACGATAGTCCTTACCGAAATACATCAAATGGCTTTTAAATTTCTAAAATCGGTTTATGCGTTTTTGAGAAAACGTCGATCAAGTCTAATTTTGACAAATGCGAAAAAAACGATACCAATTTTTGCAAACTTTGAAGAATTTTTAAAGCTAAACCAGTTGTCGTAGGGCCGTAATATTTTAGTATGATATAGAAGACTATGGTATCTACCGTCAAAAAAATAATCATAAAAACCGTCGAATTTTTTTTTTTTAAACTTTATTACAAGATAACGACCCGCCCGATCTCTACCAAAAACTAATCAGCACGATTCCCAACCAATATCTATCGAATGGGTTTTTGAATTTTCAGAATCGATTCAGAATTGCGGGGTAAAACGTGGACGAAAATTTTTTCACTTTTCTGCAATTTACAAAAGAACGGCTCGGCCGATCGCCGCACAAAACTCAGAAACGATAGTCCTCATCGAGATACATCGAATGGCTTTTAAATTTTTGAAATCGGCCCAGCCGTTTTCAAGAAAACGTCGATTTACGGCAAAAAATCTGTTCACACACACACACACACACACACACACTCACACACACATACTCACACACACACATACTTTTTCCAAATTTGGTCTCATTCGATTCAGAATGGCTTGAAACGTCGAGAAAACATAAAATTAGCGAATCGGATTTTTTGATGAAAACATAAACTTCTCCTTCGGGAAGTTAAAAATTATTATATTTTTTACACTATAGTCCATATCGAAATGTATAGACATCCACATGGGTAATTTTAAATGTAGAACTGCTCTAAATAAAATGATGAGTCTTAGATTCCACACTTAACTCTTTATTATACTGTGGAATTCAAATCAGCCACATAAAACCATCAAACAAACAAATATTGAAATATGTTCACTAAAATAGTATACACTACAACTTATTGAACAAATTTATTTCCAATAGCTCAATTTATTTTAATGCCAAGGGTTATCCAATATTTTTAATTATTTCTGTAGATGCAGATGTATAAATAAATGATTTTTTGTTTATTCACGACTAAAACATCGATTTTGCAAATTTATCACGCAAAAATTCATCGTCGGCCTTTGTGATTTATAGCATAAGATATGCGTGTTGGAAATTGCAGTTTTTTAAACAGTATAACGAATTCAGAAAGAAATAATATATAGTATCCGCGGTAAAGATACTTGGATTTTTTCACTCAAAATAATTCAATATGATGCTCATAATTTTTATGATCTTGTACAATATATTAATAGTTTTCAGTAATAATATCTAAATTACATTTTTAACTTCCCGTAGGGTAAGTTATAGTAATCGCAAAAAATCGAAAATGAAAATTTTTATATATCTTTACGTTTCAGCGGTTTCTGAACATTTTGGCATACCTTAGAAAAATTGGATGTATATGTGTATGTGTGTGCGGATACAAATTTTCGTCGACGATTTCGGGAACACCGATCAACCGATTTAAATAATTCAAAAAACATTCGATTTGTATTGATAAGGAGCTGATTAGTTTTTGGCGAAGGCAGGTCTAGCCGTTCCGAAGATACGGGGCAAAAAGTGCCTAAAATGGTAACTCAGTTTTTAAGAGAACGGAGCGTCCGATTTTAATAATTCAAAAAACATTTTACTTGTATTGACAAGATGAAAAATTGATCGAATTTTCATATAGGTAGGTCTTAGCGGGTAAAAAAATGCCATCTGGCGGTCAAAAATGATCATTAGACATATGCACATCAAATTATCAGATATTTTATGCAAATTTTAATATGTATAACATTTGTTTACATTCCTATGGGTTCCTGCGTCAATGTTCATCCGTTAGACGGCGGCGCGGCGCTTACGCGTTTCGATATTTTGTCTCTATGCAGTTAAAGCAGTACGATTGCTTTGAAAAAAAGTTCAGAATTTCCAAAATATTTCAAAATAAATTTTTCTTCAAAGTCTTTTTTTTTTAAAAAAAAAGTAAATTTTTGTCAAAAATTTAGTTTCTCAAAAATCTAATTTTTTCAGAGAATTTTTTTTTTCAAAAATGTTAGTCTTTTTTAAAAAAAAAAATTTTTGGTACGGGAAGTTTCAGCAATTTACCTTAAGGCACGATGCCATGCGCCCCACTTATTCTTAATAATAATTCGATATACATTATTACTTATTTACGTGATATTTTGGAATCTCTGGAACCAAGTTAATTCTAGATGAAATACGATTAATTTTAATTTTGTTGGAAATGACACTCATATTACTATTTGATCTAAATAAAAAAGCAGACCTTTTTAACAGTACACATTTTACAGCTTATTTTGAGCACTATAAAAAGGTGCCCCATGGAATATATAAAATGTAACACCTCGCCGCTTGATGGCTTCAAATACAACAATTAAATTTCGAACGAAATAAAAAAACGCTTTTCATATCTAGCTTAATATTGTTCCTAGGACACGTTATAAATCATCGATTTATTAAGATTATAATTGATATACTTTTGTTAATTACATGATTTTCGTTAAAATGTATATTTTTGGAGATATTTATGAAAAAACGAAAAAAACAATTTTCAGTAGCCAGTAATTTGAAAAGTATTTGCTTCTTTGAAAAACATTTTTCTCTTATAATTAGTTTTTTTATCGATATCCGACGTTATTTTGAAAAATAAAAAGAAAATTACACTACTTAGAAGGGATGTCATCCTTCCGGGAAGTGGCAAAGGAGTCTAAATTATTTTCACTTTTGAACTTGAGAGTAAGATAAACCTGATTCCAAAAATTCATACAAATTGGAGCACAGTAAAAAAAATCAGACTCAACACGCTCCATTGACTGAGTAAATATTACGTATCCAATGCCAAACATATTCATTTTTGAGAACTTCTAAATAATTTTTTGAAAGATAATATTTTTGTATTGTAATTTAGTAACGTAAGGCAAAAAACTACTGCATCAGTTAAGAGATAATAATCTGTCAAATAGAATTATATAAAGTATATTCGCTGACAGTCAACAACGGTCAAACAATGATAAGCGGGTTTTTGTATTTTTTTCATTTATTTCTACCTAACTATATAATATCTAACTATATTTCTATAATCACAACATCCTAAAAAAATCTCTTAACAAACTTAAAAAAGATTTATCAAAATCCGAATAATCGTTTAGGAGGAGTATCCTTTCACACATCATTAAAGAAGAATTTTATATATGATATATAATATTGCAAATATATATTTTATTAATTATATTTACACCATGTAGTGCGCAAAAATGATAAAAATTGATCATTTTCACAGGTACTGCGTCATATTTTTGGAGCATTTATCGTTTAATATAGACAATCTACATGCAAATCCTTGGAAAATATGATTGTGGACCTATACAATGTAAGAGAATTTATATATATATATATATATATATATATACATTAGATTATTTAATGTTAATATTTATGCAGTTGATTTTGATACTATATTTTAAAACAATAAAGTTTTTAAAAGGCTTTAATTTTTTTTTGAAAAATTAAAAAAAAAATAGATTTTTGAAAATTTTAAATTTTGCATATCTTCAAGTTTTAGTAGTTTCTGAACATTTTGGCATACCTTAGAAAAAATGTGTGTGTATATGTTAGTATGTATGTATATATGTATGGATAAAATTTTTCGTCGACGTTTTCGGGAGTACCGGTCAACCGATTTCAATTATTCAAAAAGCATTCGATCTCATTGATAAGAAAATGTGCTGATTAGTTTTTGAAAAGAATAGTGCTGAAAAAGTTGGCCCAGCGGCTTTGGAGATACGTAGCAAAGAGTGCAGAAAATAGAAATCGAGTTTTAGAGTATACGGATCATCCGATTTGAATGAAATTTTGAATTCAAAAAGGGTTTCAAAAATTCGATTCGTGATAAAGGGTGAAGTGGTGCTTAGTTTTTTAAAAAGACAGGTCATCCGTTTCAGATATACGGAGCTAAATGTGCAAAAAATGACATTTTTTGAGTGAACGATGCATGCGATTTGAATTATTCAAAAACTTTTTGCTTGTATTGACGAAACGATTATTTTTGGAAAAAGCACTTTTTTCTCATTTTTTTTTTTGAATTTCGTAAATGATTAGGATTTTAATTTTAATTCTTGCTAAACTAAGAGCTTATTCTAAAGCCCACTTATATACTTCAAATAAATAATTTTAACTTTGCAATTTATATCATATGATCCTTTATTTTAACTCCCATTCATTAAGTTTTGTTCACTTACTTTTCATGTAAATTTATATAAACGTCATCGTCCAATTTATAAGCTCTTATATTTTGTCTATAAAATACGAATATGTGAAATACAAAAATCATAGTTCTTCAGCTTCATAATCATCAGTTCTTTGCTTCATCATTACACATCAAATGTTTTTTGAATCATTCAAATCGGACGCTCTGTTCTTTCAAAAACAATAAAAATTTGACGCATTTCTTGGTAAAAACAGACACTTAAAAACTCTGCATGTATTTTGTAATGATTTTATAGCATTAAATCTGGTCGGAATATAAATACTTCACAATTGCTATAATTAGTGAATTATTTACATAGTCAAGAGTATAAAGTTTACAAGTCATTAAATATTATTAATTTTTTAATAAGTCGTGTTTCATTGCTGGTAGAAATGCTTACTTTTGTTGTAAAATTTCAATCCCGTATTAGAAGAGATATATAATGCATTCATCAAACAATTAATCCATTACTTGTGTCAAGAAGTTCGAGCAAGAAGTCAAGTGATGTTGAACTTATTGTGTGCCTGTAAAAATTGATTGGTCTTAATAAACGCGATACCAAAGGAATGAGCTTACTAAATGCCGTACATCAAATTATACAGCCATTATCTGAATCATCCGAAAATATGCTTCTGTTTTTATTAAGTCTTACATCTATGTGTATTATTAAGTTATATATCTATGCAGATAGAGAAATAGCTCTATCTGCATGTGTGTGCATGGTAGTAGTTACTTAGGTAGTGCAGCTTGGATCGTCCTATTCGGTCATGATTCCCACGCATGATTTTTAAATTTTACGCCTAAATAACTAGAATATCGAACAATAACTATAAAATTTTGCCGTCTATTAAAACATCAAATATAGAATTCTAGAACGAATATATCAATCCTTTTTAATAGCTCAATCAAACCTGTTATAATAATTTTTGAAACTTTAACATAATTAACTTCCCGTAGGGTAAGTTATAGTAATCACAAAAAATCGAAAATGAAAAATTTTGCATATCTTTACGTTTCAAAGGATTCTAAACATGTTGGCATACCTTAGAAAAAAATGGATGTATATGAGTGTGTTTTTTTGTATGGCGAAGGAAATGCATTCATGTATCCCAGACTCGTTTCTTGTCTGGGTATGTCGGACTCAATACCACCTGGGTATAATACCGACTAAAACCTCCACTTTGCCCTTGCCTTTGGTCCCAACAGAAACCGCTGTTAGGCATTACTTCGTGGGGGAGGATCTAGAATGTTATCATTCTTACCTTGATTTTATACTCATCTTTTAAATGAACGAATTCCCATCTGCCTTTTCTCTTTTCATAGAACGTAGGTCAATTAGCACATCTCTCGCAAATCTGTCTATGGCGTTCCAAGCAGCTTCAGTTGCCAACATCACTTCTACAACAGTATCCGCAGTAATTCTTCGCCTCAATATCTCTTCTACATCGTCCCGTAGAGCACTAAATCGCGGGCACACGAACGACACGTGCTAAGCATCTACGATTTCGCCCAAACAATTAGGGCAATCAGGCGAGCTATCGTGCTTGAAGCGGTTTATGTAGGGTCGAAAACAGCCGTGCTCAGATAATATTTGCGTAGTGTAATAATTTACATTTCCATGTTTGCGATTTTGCCCGGCTTTGATATTTGGATTGAGACGATGCGTCCATCTGCACTTCACTGCCAGCGGTCAATGCTGTTCCGCCGTTCTTCTATTCTCAACTTTTCATGACTCAGTTGTTGATGTCTACGATGGTAAATTGTCCGCATTTTCTCTGCTAAGACAAAGAGATGCAGAGTTCCTGAAATAAACCACAATGCTTTCTCCGATATTGTGCGAAGTGCGCAAGCAACTCTTAAAGCACTCCGACGATATATAGGTCATGCCATTCTCCTAGTTTTTTTTAAGTTTTGAGAGCATCAGCCCTTATGGAGATACCACATGTAAGCACCGAAGTAACCACTGATGTTAGTAATATCCTTCTGGTTTGTTTTGGGCCTCCGCAAGACTCCGTCTTAACTACTGACGCCTTAGCACACTGTGTGTGTGCATGTGTATGTTTGGATACAGTTTTTTTGTCCACGATTTCGGGCGCACGAATCAACCGATTTAAATGGTGCCAAAAACGGTAATTCAGCTTTTGAAAGAATGAAGTACCCGATTTAAATGATTCAAAAAATATTTTAATTGTACTGACAAAATGAAAAATTGATGAAATTTTTGGTAAGGCAGATCTAGCGGTTTTGGCATTACAGAAGAAAAAGTAAAAAAAAAAATTTGGCGGTCAAAAATTATCATTAGACATATGCACATCAAATTATCACATATCTGACGAATTTTTTAAAAATGAGTACTCATTTTGTTACAATTTTATTGGGATTCGTACCAACATTTTTAATTCTTAAAGTTTACTTATACGGTTCCGCGTCATCACGGCTTGTCATATTTGTTAACGGTCTGGAATGATAAAATATTGTCGGATTGGGTCCAACAAAGGAGTTGAGGTCCACATGTTATATGTCGAACTGGGTCCGACAACGGAGTTGCTTGCGGTGCACATCTTATATGCCAGACTGGGGCCGACTAGGGAGTCCAAAGGGTTAAAATTTTCAGAAAAAAGTTTCATACTTCAAATATGAGTTTCAAATTTACAATTCAGTTTCAAAATGTATATATTTCAAATGCGTTATACTGATCGTAAGAAATATTATATATCCTCAGGTGGATTTATTCGGCACTTCTTGCAGATGTAAACTTTCTCAAGTACTTTGAGCGATAAAATTGGCATTGTATATTTCATGAACGTTAAATATATAGTGATTATAATTATCTGTTTGAAAATGTTTAAAACAATTGTTATTAATCATTGATCAATATTTAATGATTACTGATTTTTTTTCCTTGAATATTTAATTCTGGTACAGAAAGTTGCAGCAATTTGCCTTGAGGCGCGATGCCATACCACCGCTAGTTTAAATAATACCTTCATATTTTGGTCTCAATAATTTCAAGCAATTGTAGAATTTTTGTAAAATTTTCAGTAGATTTATTACATTGAAAAGGTAATAAAACTTCTTTTGTCATAAGTTAAGTTGCAAGAACTTTCTGTTATCTGGAAATAATCGACTTAATCAATTGGAATGAGATTTTCGTAAGTTTTATAATTGTGATCTTTTAAGAGTCCTGCTGAAAAAACATGTTAAGCGTATTATGCGTGATAAAATAATAGAAGGTGCATATATAATATCATGCATGCTAATTTTAGTATGCATAGGTGTTAACTTCATTACATTTATAAATTACTATAAACACGTAGTGTAATTATTTCGTTACATTAATTTTTAACTTCCCGTAGGGTAGTTATAGTAATCGCAAAAAAATCGGAAATGAAAATTTTTATATATCTTTACGTTTCAAAAGTTTTTGAACATTTTGGCATACTTTAGAAAAAATGGATGTATGTGTGTGTGTGTGCGGATAAATTTTCGACGTTTTCGAGAACACCGATTAACCGATTTGAATAATTAAAAACATGCGATTCGTATTGATAAGGAAACGTTCTGATTAGTTTTTGGCGAAGATAGGTCTAGCCGTTCCGTAGATACGGGGCAAAAAGTGCCAAAAACGTTAACTCAGTTTTAACGAGAACGGAGCGTCCGATTTTAATAATTCCATAAACATTTTACTTGTATTGACAAGATGAAGAACTGATTAAATTTTTGGGAAGGAGGTCCATCGGTTATGGACTCTCAATAAAAATAAGTTAAAAAAATGTCATTTGGCGGTCAAAAGTGTTTATTGGACTTATGTACATCAAATTATCATATATTTTATAGAGGTTTCAAAAATGTGTACACATTTTGTGTAAATTTTTTTGGATTCCGTACTAAGATTTTTAATTACGATGCCATGTATTCTACTAGTAAATCAGTTCTATTGGTTTGGCAGAAAGATTTTGATGCATTTGTAATTATAAGATTTTCAATATAATTGTGAGTATGACTGTATGAGGTTACATAAATGTGCATGTATGGGTGTATACATGCACATGTATTATATGCGCATGTATTATATGTCTTATAATACATTATATTACATTAAATTATCTTATATGTACTATATTAAGCTACTGTACAAAATTAACGGTTATATAACCGAGCGTCGTTAACTAATTCAGTGCGTCTTACAACTAACTCACTAGCAAACGCATTTTTTTCGGCCCATCTGATTTAGCACAGGCCTGGGTCAGTCTCCCTTTACTTGATATGGCTTTTGAAGATTCTCTCTGATATCGATTTAAAAAATAAAACGCAAATCTCAGCAGCAAACTGAGTTTGATTTGATGTACGTGATTTTTTATTAAAAACTTTGTCTGTATTTATTTGCATCACCCATACTTTATTTTTGATGCCCAATAATTCAGAATGACTTGACACGTAGAGAAAATAGAAAATTAGCAGATTGAATTTTCTGGGGAAAAACAAGTTTCTCTTTGGGGAAGTAAACATTAATTTCAGTTTTGACATGAATTTGGGATTGTTTTTTTTTTTTATTTTCAATATATATACTTTTTAACATGGTTCAATTTTAGTGCTTTTCATATTCATATTTTAGTATTTTTCATGAATTTTTGAACGAGTGGATGGTTTTGTCATCTGCTCCGTACCGCAATGAAATATTCGAGGATTATTAAATGCTTTAAATTAGATTATTATAAACACCGTAACTTTCATTATTCTTATTTTATAGACAAAATAAAGAGCTTATGAATTGGACGATTACGTTCATATACGTTTATAGAAAATAAATGAACAAAACTTAATCCGATTTAAAATGAAGAACATTGTCTATTATTTATGAATATAAACTGAATTATTTATATTTATTAAGTTAAAATTATTTATTTGAAGTATATAAGTAAGCTTCAGAACTTAAACTAGAATTAAAATTAAAATCCAAAATATTTTCGATATTCAAAAAAAATCTTTTTGAAAATTAAAAAAAAACAACCGTTTTGTCAACACAAGCAGAAATTTTTTTTTAGTTTTTTTTTAAATTCTATTTATTTATTTATTTTTAACTTGCCGTAGGGCAAGTTATAGTAATCGCAAAAAATTGAAAATGAAAATTTTTGCATTTCTCGACGTTTCAAAGGTTTCTGAATATTTTGGCATACCTTAGAAAAAATGGATGTATGTGTGTGTGTGTATGTGCGTGTGTGTATGTATGTGCGGATACAAATTTTCGTCGATGATTTCGGGAACACCGATCAACCGATTTGAATAATTCACAGATCATTCGATTTGTATTGATAAGGAGATGTGCTGATTAGTTTTTGGCGAAGGCAGGTCTAGCCGTTCCGAAGATACGGGGCAAAAAGTGCCGAAAACGGTAACTCAGTTTTTAAGAGAACGGAGCGTCCGATTTGAATAATTCAGAAAACATTTTACTTGTAATAACAAGATGAAAAACTGATTAAATTTTTATGAAGACAGGTTTAGCGGTTTTGGAGAATAAGTAAAAAAAAGTAAAAAAAATGCCATTTGGCGGTAAAAAATGATCATTAGACATATGCACATCAAATTATCAGATATTTTATAGAGATTTTAGCAATAAGTATAAATTTGGTTTACATTCCTATGGGTTCCGTACCAGTGTTTACGCGTTAGACGGCGACGCGGCGCTTACGCGTTTTGATATTTCGTCTTTATGCAGGTAAAGCTGTCCGATTGCTTTGAAAAAAGTTTAGATCTTCCAAAATATGTCAAAATAAAGTAAACATTTTTTGTCCAATTTTTTTTTTATTTTTTAATTTTTTTTTTCAAAAAAAAAAAGTAATTTTATGTCCAATTTATAGTTTCTCAAAAATCTTATTTTTTTGAAGTAAAATATTTTCAAAAATGGTAAAAAAATAATAATTCTTGGTACGGGAGTTCCAGCAATTTGCCTTAAGGCACGATGCCTTAATTGCCTTAAGACAGAATTCCACTTACAGCTAGTTATTTATTTTATTGGCCTCGCTTACTTGAGCATTTAGCCACCTACATTATTCAATACAATCATATGTCCTATACAATTTTCAATTTCATACTATTCATATTCTTCATCTAATCCTATTCTTTCTATATTTCTTAACTTATCTTCTTTCTTCTTTCTTCTTACTTCTTCTACTATACTTCTTATTTCATCTTTTAGACTCTTCTTGCTTCAATTCATTTTAATACTAATTCTCTAATTTTTATGCATTCTGATTATTTTTACAAACATATTTTTATTACAATTCGAATTTCTATTACAATTCCAAACTAACTACTTAATTTTTTTCAAATTTTGCCGGAGATTCGAATACTTGTGAGCTATTCCCGCCACAAAGTTTTTTGAATCATTCAAATCGGATGCCTGGTTCTGGCAAAAACCGAGTTTCCATTTTCTCATCGCATTTTTAACTTCCCGTAGGGTAAGTTATTGAAATCGTCCAAAAATCGAATTCGAAAATTTTTACATTTCTCGACGTTTTGAAGGTTTCTGAACATTTTGGCATACTTAATTACAGAAAAAATGGATGTGTGTGTGTATGTACGTATGGATACAATTTTTCGTCCACGTTTTCGGGCGCACCGATCAACCGATTTGAATGGATCAAAAAACATTCGATTCCTATTAATAGGGAGATGTGCTGATTAGTTTTTGGCAAAGGCAGGTCCAGTAGTTACTGAGATCTAGAGCAAAAAGTGCAGAAAATAAAAATCGAGTTTTTGAGAGAACGGAGCATCGGATTTGAATGATCCAAAAAACATTCAATTTGTAATGACGGGGAGAAGTGGTGGTTAGTTTATGGCAAAGGCAGGTTCAGCGGTTTTGGAGATACAGAGCTAAATGTGCAAAAAATGGTAGTTTTTGATAGAACTAAGCGTCCGATTTGAATGATTCATATGACTTTCTGTTTGTTTTAACAAAATAATTGATTTTGAAAAAAAAAAATTTTTGTTTCAATTTTTTTTTTCAAAAAATTTTTTTTCAAATATTTTTTTTTTGTATATCGAAAATAATTGAGATTTTTATTTTAATTCTGTTATAATATACTTTAAACAAAATATTATTTCAAATAAAATATGATTCAGTTCAAAATTTGTTTTCGACTTTAAAAGTTCAATTGGCAGCAAAGTTTTTATTTATTCTATTGACAATACTATTTTACTCACTGAACAATACTGCCTCAATTTAGATAAATATAAAAAATATAAATAAAATAAAATTTCAGTATGAATACGAATAGTTTTCAATATTCCGCAGTATATATAATTCCATTTATTTTCCATTTTCTTTGTACTTCATGAAAATTATAGTAAACATTTTAAATTTTAAGTAAAATTTGACAAATAAAAAATAATTAAGTTTATAATCACATTTTAAAATATAATCAATCTCATTTGTTGAAATTAATTTATTGGGAAATGCTAATGTTAAAATATTTCTTTGAATTATTTGATTATTGTATTATTTAATTATTATATATTAATAATTAATATATAATATATATAATATTTTATTAATTAATTATAATATATTTCAGAAATTACGTTTTTATTTCAACACGGTATGTTTTTGCACATGATGGTTCGAATATGGTTCCGAATATGGTTCCGAATATGGTTCCGAATATGGTTCAATATGGTTCGAAGCTCTATTAAAAGTTTCAAATCATTGATCAACTTTTATTGATTATCATTATTTTTAATTACTCGAATTTTGAATTGCGGTACGGGAAGTTTCAGCAATTTGCCTTAAGGCACGATGCCCTAATTGCCCTAAGACAGAATTCCACTTACAGCTAGTTTACATTCAAGTGCGTTAAATGTACATATTACGTACGTATGCATATTTTTTGCATTTAGACTATTTAGAGTAAATTATGGTGGTTTTATTTTATCTACAGTATTCAATTTGACACTTCTTACGAGGACAAACATAAGAATTAGATTTAGATATTATTTTTTGGTATTTGTTCTTTTTTTGGTTGTTCACAGGTTTTTCGAAAATCGGCTTTTAGGTCTATTGATCCACTAAATAGCAATTCAGTATAAATTCGAGACATTTGTGTCAGCTAAAACAAGAATATTGAAAAAGATACTTGGAAAGACCGCAACTCTTAGAATTTGTAGCATCTGGCCATTTGACCAAAATCTTTTCTGGCCAAAATCTTTTACAGCTTGAATGGGACTCAATGACACGTTCATCATTCTCCAGACCTATCATCATATGATCATTATTTTTACCGGTCACTGAAAAAATGTTTAGGCGGTATAACATTTATATCAAATGAGGAGGTCAAAAAGCTCTTTGATCAGTTTTTTTGCCAAGGACGACCAAAAAAATTATGATTTCGGAATTATGCTAATACCAGAATCAGAAGACAAAAGATGTTTGATCAAAACAGCCAATGCAGAATTCATTAAAGTATTTGTTTATTTACGAAAATTACGTCAAAATGTCTATAAAAAACGAAGTTACTTTCCGAACAATCCAATAGATGCTTTTCCAATTCAAAGTTCAAAACGGGTCATTTGACCTGCTTTTGAAATGATTAGTGTTAACAATGATATTAGTAACGTGAATTAGAAAATGAATTAATGTGATTGATCAGTATTTAGAATTTTCAGAACTAACCGCAAATTTTGTGTTTTAGAGCGGCTGCACGATGAATGCCAATGACAAGAGGCAACTGGAACGAGAAGCTCTGCGGAGCGTCATCCAGCAATGGAACGCGAACCGTGTCGACTTGTTCGAACTCAGCGAACCGAACGAAGTAAGTTTTCAAAGTGACAAATTCAATTATCATCATAAAATTAGTACGATACTCATTTCAAAAAGCATTAAAAGATAGAAAATTTCTTTTATCTACATTTCAGTACGAAATTGTAATCGATATCTTGAACAAAACTAACAAAAATAGATATGGGCGGGAGCACCTTTGATAATAATCAATACAATTATCTAATATATAGATTCTTTTAAATTTGTCAGCAATATCAGAAATTACACAAAAAAGTGCATGGGCTTCTTTACGTTTTAATAAAAGAATGGTGGATCGACCAGAAAAAATTTTCATTTTTGATTTTTGGACGATTACTATAACTTACCCTACGGGAAGTTAAAAAAAATAAAAATGAAAAATAAAAGATAAGACTTGTTCAAATATATATTCACAACTAAATAAAACATTTATTTTTAAGAATAAATTAACAAAATAATATCTAACTTAACATCAATATTACATAAATAGAAACACGTGATTAATATATTTTATGCAAATTATAATATGATATGACCGGTCTTTTAGTATACCGGTATTGCATTCTCAAATGACGATATATTACATATTAACGACCAATATCCCGAACAAAAGTTTCTGAATAGTTTTTATGTATAAAAAAATTGTAACGTTAATTTTTAAGGGTTTCCATGAGCTCTAAGTAAGCCCATTTCAAAAGACTTCGATTCACAATTCGATTCATAATCAGAATTACTCTTTTGTTGTATTTATAATTGAATATACTTTTTTTTATTAGAATTTTTATACAAATTCTACTGTGTTGGAGTTGATTTATGTTAAGTAATTATTGTTTTTTATTCAATGCAATTTTAGCATTAATTATTAACTTCCCGAAGGAGAAGTTTATGTTTTCATCAAAAAACCCGATTCGCTAATTTTATGTTTTCTCGACGTTTCAAGCCATTCTGAATCGAATGAGACCAAATTTGGAAAAAGTATGTGTGTGTGTGTGTGTGTGTGTGTGTGTGTGTGTGTGTGTATGTGAACAGATTTTTTGCCGTAAATCGACGTTTTCTCGAAAACGGCTGGGTCGATTTCAAAAATTTAAAAGCCGTTCGATGTATCTCGACGAGGACTATTGTTTGTCAGTTTTGTGCGACGATCGGCCAAGCCGTTTCTTCATAAATGGCAGAAAAGTGAAAAAAATTTCGTCTACGTTTTAGCCCGCAATTCTGAATCGATTTTGAAAATTCAAAAACCGTTCGAAAGATATTGGTTGGGAATCGTGCTGATTAGTTTTTGGTAGAGATCGGCCGGGCCGTTTTCTTGTAATGAAGTTTTTAAAAAAAAAATTTCGACGATTTTTATGATTATTTTTTTGACGATAGATACCATAGTCTTCTAGATCATACTAAAATATTAGGGCCCTACGACAACTGGTTCAGCTTTAAAAATTCGTCAAAGTTTGCAAAAATCAGTATGGTCTTTTTGGCATTTGTCAAAATTAGACTTTTGATCGACGTTTTCTCAAAAACGCCTGAACCGATTTTAGAAATTTAAAAGCCATTTGATGTATTTCGGTGAGGACTATCGTTTGTCAGTTTTGTGCAACGATCTGCCAAGCCGTTTCTTTGTAATTTGAAAAAAACTTTTCGTCCACATTTAAGCTCATCCTACCGAACGATTTTAAAAAATCAAAAACTGTTCGAAAGATATTAGTTAGGAATGATACTGATTAATTTTAGGTGAAAATCTACCGAGCCGTTTTCTTGTAATTAACTGTTGAAAAAAAGTGTTAAATTTTCGTCGACATTTAAGCTCATCCTACCGAACCGATTTTAAAATATCAAAAACTGTTCGAAAGATATTAGTTGGGAATGATACTGATTAATTTTAGGTGAAAATCTACCGAGCCGTTTTCTTGTAATTAACTGTTGAAAAAAAGTGTTAAATTTTCGTCGACATTTAAGCTCATCCTACCGAACCGATTTTAAAATATCGAAAACTGTTCGAAAGATATTAGTTGGGAATGATACTGATTAATTTTAGGTGAAAATCTACCGAGCCGTTTTCTTGTAATTAACTGTTGAAAAAAAGTGTTAAATTTTCGTCGACATTTAAGCTCATCCTACCGAACCGATTTTAAAATATCGAAAACTGTTCGAAAGATATTAGTTGGGAATGATACTGATTAATTTTAGGTGAAAATCTACCGAGCCGTTTTCTTGTAATTAACTGTTGAAAAAAAGTGTTAAATTTTCGTCGACATTTAAGCTCATCCTACCGAACCGATTTTAAATATCAAAAACTGTTCGAAAGATATTAGTTGGGAATGATACTGATTAATTTTAGGTGAAAATCTACCGAGCCGTTTTCTTGTAATTAACTAAAAAAAATTTAAGCCGATTTTTATGGAATTTTTTTTGGCGATATACGTGGGTCTTATAGAACTTACTGTAATATTACGGCCTAACGACAAGTAGTTTAATTTTAAAAATTCGTCAAAGTTTGCTAAAATTGTTATCGTTTTTTTTTAAATTAGGATTAATGAAGTATATTATTAGGTCGATTATTTACACATTTCGGGAAGTTCATGTAACTTGCCTCAAAGCTAAATACCAAACCAACTCGTATCAATTAATTTTGAGACATATTTTTGCAATTGACATAATTAAATGTAACTGTTCACTATTCTTAGAAATGTAACTTATATTTATGCAAAGGTAGCACAAACATGCTTAGAGTATCACAATGAAAGTCGCGATGTGATGCTCTGATTAATTTCCTATGTTTAGTTGAAGACGAAAATCAGCGAACCATTCAGTGGTTGGTTATATAACATTCCTAAAATAATGAAACAAGGAATATTTATAAAAATATTTGTTTCTACTAAAATTGGATAACTGTCACTTTTTTATTCTTGGTTGATATATTTTCAGTTATATCAAATACTACATTCACAAATTAGATTGTGATGCTACATACATATTTTTAAATATCAAAAAATATCAACATTGCATATTATTTGTCGATTCCTACTATAACAATTGTATTATACTATTGTTTTTGCATCCCAACATCGTTTTTTTTCCAAAATCTTACACATTAACATTACAATATATGGTTAATAATGATAATTCTGTGATCCGAAGATAACAGAAATATAAAATAGATTACCTAATTATATAAATATTGTTAACATGCATTTTATCCTTGATTAGCGTAATAAGTCTTAATACAATAAATTTAAAATATCCTAATGCTTTTTATTACATATTGCAAGCTGTTAGCACAACTTTATTATTTATTAGAGCTACTTCATATTGTTATTTCGAATATCTTGAAACCTCCAAAATTCAATTGTTTAAAAGCTATGAAAATCATTGCTTTTTATTTCGACTATTGGCTGCAACTATACATTTCAAGATTATATATATATATATATATATATATATATATATATATATGTGTGATTTAGATTTTTTTGGTCGAAATTGAGACATATATTGAAATGTAAATTTGCAGCCAGTCTTCGAACTAAAAAAACAATAAATAATGATCTATTTATTTATACGTTTCGACATGATATGTGTGTCATCATTCACAATTTTTTTTTAATAAACAATATCACAACAGGAAAAACTCTCTCTCTTACACACACACATATATATATATATATATATATATATATATATATATATATATATATATATATATATATATATATATATTTGATGTAGATATAAGTACTTTGTATGATCTAGATATTAATATTTAAACTTTATTTTAGGATTTGGAATTTCACGGAGTGATGCGATTTTATTTTCAAGATTCTGGTCAAAAAGTGGCAACTAAATGTATTCGAGTGGCGTCAGATGCAACTGTTGCTGATGTCATAGGTATTCAATTTTGTATTCAGATTTTAAAAAGTGCGTGTCTTTTAAATGGCCTCTTCAATAAAAATGTTGATGGTGTTATTCCTAATTAGTGTGAAATAACTGATCATAATAGATTTTGAATCATCATTGAAACTTCTTTACCTATTGTTATGAATATATGAATTCAGGTGATATTTTTTAACTAATTAAAGGAATCAAGATTTTGATAACCTTTTTAATCTTCATTTTATTTGTAATAAAAAAAGATTAATAATATCTTTAATATGTAATTTTTAACTTCCCGAACTTTTTCATAAAAAAAATCTGATTCGTCAATTTTTTTTTCGACGTTCCAAGCCATTCTGAATCTAATGATACCAATTTTGGAAAAAGTATGTGTGTGTGCGCGCACGTGAACAGATTTTTTGCCGTAAATCGACGGAGTGATTTTAAAAAATTTAAAAGCCTTTCGATATATCTCGAGGAGGATTAGCGTTTATCAATTTTGCACGACGATCAACCAAGCCGTTTCTTTGTGAATCGCAGAAAAGTGAAAATTTTTTCGTTCACATTTCACCCCGCAATTCTGAATCGATTTTGAAAATTCAAAAACTGTTCGAAAGATATTATTTGGGAATCGTGATGATTAGTTTTTGGTAAAGAACGGCCGGGCTGTTTTCTTGTAATAAAGTGTTAAAATTTTTTTTCGTTTTTTATGATTTTTTTTTTTTTTATGATAGATACCATAGTATTATAGAACTTACTGAAATATTGCGGCCTTACGACAATTAGTTTAATTTTAAAAATTCACCAAAGTCTGAGAAAATGACTAGTTTTTTTTGATGTTTATTAAAGTTAAATATAGAAGATTTACTTGGTATGAATATAGAGTGTTCGTTCGTTTTCACACACACTAATACTTTTTCCAAATTTGGTTTCATTCAGAATGGCTTGGAACGTCGAGAAAACAAAATTAGCGAATCGGATTTTTTTATGAAAACAAACTTCTCCTTCGGGAAGTTAAAAAAGATTTTTTAAGTTTATTATATATGAAGATTCGTATTGACCAATATCATATAATTGTAGCGAAAGCAAAATTACAAAAGCTGTCAAAAATAGTTTATACAATTATTATGTATTGGTATTACAAATATCACCACAATTAGAAATGTATGATATGAATTTATTTTAGTTAGAGTAACGTTTTAAGTAGAGTAACAAATCTGAATGATTAATATACTTTTGCAGAAACATTAATTGAGAAATTCAGGCCTGATATGCGAATGCTATCCCTACCCAGCTATGCCTTATATGAAGTCCATTCCAATCACGAAGAACGGAGATTATCACCTACAGAGAAGCCTTTGCTAGTGCAGCTAAATTGGCATATAGATGATAGAGAAGGAAGGTTTCTCCTTAGGAATGTCGACCATAAAACAAATGTATGAAATCGAATAAGTATTCAAAATTCTTTAAGTTCCTCAAAGATTTTTTATTTGCTACTTACTTACAAATTTGTTTTTTTTGCCTTATAGTGCACAAATTGTAATTAGTTCCGTAGCTCTTGCTCATTATTTATGTATTGTACGCATATAGTCTCATACCGGAGAATGAAATTTACAAGTCTTTAGAATTTAGTTTAAAGACTCTTTCAAGAGAAACAAGTTTCACTTCATATAATTTCTTCATAGATATACTTGCAAGGTAAATTATCCAGTATTTATTTTCATATATATTGTGAAATTCAGATTTTAAACTGAGATAAATAATGAATCAGACATGGGTTGATGGGATTTTAGGTGCTTCTTGTATACCACTTCTTATTTGCATATCTTTCTCAATGACGCGGAATCCTTAACAAATTCCAACACAAATTTATTTGAAATTATTAGCATTATTTTCATTACTTAAACACTAAATGGCAATATAAGCAATATGACAGTTCACAATATTTTGTCAGGTACCTTTTTTTTCATACATTTTTTTCATTTTTGTACGAATTTGTTGTACATTATTCTTTTATGCACACTGTTTTTTTTATATTGTTATTTAAACTGCTATCCTGGAGTTTGCAAATATTGATATATAAAGTTATATTCCAAACGATGACGATGAATTTTCATCTCTCAGGAAAAAAAATTGCTTGTAGATTATCTCTCTTTTTCAGGGAGTGAATTTGGTGATAATGAATTCACTCAGCTGAAGAGAAAACTTGAGAATACCATATATTTTTTTTATTAAATTATTGTTTAATCCAATAATATTATATAATTATAATAATAATCATATAGTATAACATTAATTTAAATAACGAACATAGATTATTATATTATCAATATTTGTTATTTTTGTGAAGTTCTACACTGCATAAAGGTGTATTTTTTCAGCTTATTACACACTTAAAAAAATACTAAAAGTTTTAATAACTACTATTATAAAAATTCAAAAGAAATATGAATTGATAAAGCTCTGTTGCAGTAACAGTTTTCCTATTTAATGATTAACATGTTTATCATTGCAACAGTATTGGAATGTTAAGTCATTGATCTTCATTTGATGGCTTTATTAGTCTAGAAGAAATATTGACACCAATATTGGAATGTGTGTTAATGTGTACCAAATTTTGAATTTCAGTCGATAATTTGCTAAATCATAATTCTTATTGATTAAATCAATTCTTTAAGGCAATATGCCATGTGCCTGGTTTGTTTTTAATTTGAGATACAGAAGATTTCGATTTATAATGGACTTTTGCAAAAGTTTCTATTTAGTTCACAAATTAAATTTTCATAATCAATCACATGTACATATGTCCATAAAATTCTATATTTCATCTATACTAAATGATTATTATTTGTTTTTTTTCATAAGAACTTTATAAGAAATTATGAATTGTATTTTTAGGCACCTGCTGTGGATCTTGCAGAATCAAATAACTTTAAACGAAAATTGTCTAAACGAGAAAAAAAAGAATTTAAGAAGAAAGAGAAATTATCTAGATTACAATCTGATGCTTCAAAGGAAAATAAAAATGCAGAGAAATTATACACAGGTGATGATTGCTATAGAAATGAATTTTTCAATGTACAATTTTTAATCTGGATGGGTTGTTAGGATTTTTTTTAAAACTAATGCATTGCAATGTTTATTAATTGAACTTCAGTATGATAATTGTTTAAAACAATTGCTATATTTCCAAATTTAAATATAAATAGCATTCTTTTTTTGAATACTAACATAATTATGTTAGAATTAAATATTACATGTTATTGGTAACTTACTTTTTTCAAATTATTTTCATACCTTTTTGCTTAGTTTTATTTGTTGTTTATTGCATTATTATTTACATGTCTTTGTAATCCAATAATATTTCCCTAAACTAATGTTTTTCAGGAAAATATGTTTGTGAATCCACTTTTCAAACAAATACAATTTAAAAGTTAAAAATCATGAAAAAAAATTCTTACTAGGGAATGCAATACTGATGAAAAATTTCAATACTACTTTCAATAAATTTCAGTAATTTTTCATTTTGAAACCGAAATACCGGTAAAATACTGGTATTTTTGTTATATTAAACAAATGTAAACAAAATTAAAAGTTACTGGTACAAATATAAAAAATTGTATACACAACTACAACTATAGTCAACTAAACAATAAAAAAAAAACAAGTTTATTTTTTAATATTTTAACAAAATTATATCCAATTTAATTAATTCATTATCAGTATCGAGTATATTGAGTACTTTTCACCAAAATCAAACGTATGAGTAAGAAAGACCAAAAACTCATAAAAGAATATATTCCATTATTATAATAAACTGTATTGTCTGTATCCGATGTGTTAAATAAGCATAATCTCCAATATTTAAAAAAAATAATTTTCTTCACTAATTTAAGATCAGATACTTTATCAAGATAAATATTAAGATACTATATTTGTTGATTATTGTTATTTAAAACAATGTGATGGTTCTATAGAATTTTCAAACTGCGAAACGTTTTCGAAAACTATTTTCTAATTGTAATAAGAAGCAAAAATATTTAGTAATTATCATGTATAAAGTTAGAAAAAAATAAAGATTACGCAGGGGTGGGTAATCTTTATTTTGTTGATTATGATTCTTTATGATATAAAATATTTTGGCTTAAATGTCTCTTCAAAAACCGTTACATTTTTACATAAGGTGAAAAAAACATCATTATCTATCAGTCCAATTCTATTTATTGTAACACGATATGAAGCCCTTAGTAAAGCAATGAATATTCAGTTTAATGACGAGTTGAGATAATATTTAACATTTGTTTATCCTACACAATCACTTAAAGATATACCTGTTTAGACCATTTTGAAATTCAACGATAAATTTGTTCTGAGAAATTTAAACTTTAGTGTATTATGTATCAAATAGCGCTTATGCAAAAATACCGAAAATACCAGTATACCGGTATTGCATTCCCTAATTCTTACTATTTAATCATTTTGTAGAGCTTCCTGAAACTTCATTCACCAGATCCATATCAAATCCTGAAGCAGTTATGAGAAGAAGGAGACAACAAAAACTAGAAAGAAAGTTACAGCAATTTAGGTCTAAAGATGGAGGACCTGATACCGGTAAAAAATTCTGCATATTTTGTTTGATGACTCAATTTCATTCAGTAAAACTAAATGTTCAAATTAAATGAAATTAGAATTTAGAAAAGATTTTAGCTAATTCTCTTTATACTTTCAAGTACTAACCAAAAAACAAAGTTATGCTGCATATATCATTTTTTCAGTTATACCTATAAATTGTTCAATATTAAAACAAATTGATTCGAAAAAAAAATTGAAGGTGATTTTTTAAATATATTTTTTTGATATTAATAGACCTAACATTTTTATGGAGGTTTTGGGCCCAATTCAAATGAAGAATTTTAAATCATATGTCAAGAAAAATTATGTATAAACATGTTTAATATTTTTTATAAATTTTCAACACTTTATATAATTTTATAATAAAAATTGTATTATAAATATAAAGTAACTGAATTGAAATTAGCTACAAGTTTGTATTGAAGCTTTAAGCAATAAACAATCATAGATTTTTCTCTATAATCATAAAATTTATGGTTTTGAAATAAAATGGTCTATTTGAATCATTGGCCTAGATGATTTATTACTCAATATGTCAAATTTGTTACTTAATATGAAAAATAACATGTAATTTTAACCAATAAGATACTGAATATTAGGGAAATAATGGACAAAATGATATGATATGATACATATATATATATATATATATATATATATATATACATATACAGGGCCGGACCTGCCTTGCATGCGATGCATGCAAAAAATGCGGGCGCACGCCTTAGGGGGCGCCAAAACGAGATTCGGAAATAGAATTTATAGTATATTATTCACATTTTTTTAATATAAAATTAAAAATACTTAATAGATTATAATAAACAATCTAACTTAATGGATACGTAGACACAAAAAGCATATTCAGTTTGCTCTGCAAATTAGTAAATTATTGTTCTGCTTACTGTTTAATGTACTTATTAATTTCTTCTCGTTTGAAGTTAATGTGGATTCGAAAAAGAAATTATCTAGTGTTCAAACCCGTAAGCGCAAACCTACGAAAGTTTAAATTATTGGGCATTATTGACGAAAAACTACGAGCTGATTTAGTTTGAACGAAACTTGTTAAAAAAATAGATACAAATTATAATAGAAAAACATGGAAAATCGCAAGTCAGTGCATAGAAAATGGCTTGTTAAGACCGAGAAACTGAACCGAGTAACTTTTGTTTTTGTTGAAAATGTTTCGCATCTGATGAATTTTGAATGCTGAAGACATACGTGGTTAGATTTATGGAAATGGAGCAAAAATGGAAGCAAAATGTAATAGAAACGAAAATCTTGAGCTTTTTTTATACCTATTGGTGTCCATACTACTTTTAATTATTAACTAAGCAGAAATAATACAGATACAAATATAATTGTGTTTTGTTTTCAATATAGTTAAGGAACTAGTGGGGTGGGTGGCATCGTGCCTTAAGGCAAATTGCTGGAACTTCCCGTACCATAACTTTAAAATTTAACTTTAAAACAACAATCTGATATTCTGAATCAGATGGGAAAGTAAATATGAATACAATTCGGTCCTTACGATTTCAATAAGGAGAAGTTCACGATGCAATTTTAAGATATTGTAAATAATGAAAATAAAATTTAAAAAATTCAACATGAAAAACAGTGTTCTGTTTAAAAATGAAATAAGTAAAATGTTTCAAAATCCAAATATTAATATTACACATTTGTTAAAAATACTTGAAAATGTAAAATATTTGATTATGGTCAACCCGCAAATCGCTTTGATTTTCTGAATAAAATTAGAATCAATGTATTTTATAAGCATTTATTGCAAAATCCGTTTTTTTTATGATGTATAACTTGTACCCTTTGGGTTCATGTGCTGATGTTTGAAAGAGGACAAACCCATTTATTCATAGCTTTCTTAAAAATTATCAGTTCATTATGTGCTTATTTTATGTCATTTTGTCCTAACTTTATGGGTAAAATGGTTTGTGTAATAGGTTGTATTTTTTTTTAAATAAATAGTTTATTATAGTTTCTACTTAATTAAAATGCTATCTTACTAGTAGTCAACAAACCAAAGATGAAAAGAAACAATTGAGACTAGTTATAATATCATTAAATAAAGATATATAAATAAAAAGCGAAACACCATATCATTTTGTCTGTATTTCCTTTACTAGTTTATAATTGTTTATTTTAATATTAGATTATATAATCTTCCAAATAAGTTTATTATTGAAAATTATTTCCATTTCATGGATGAATGACTCACTTTTATACTATGTTTTGACATTTTCCAGGGGGTACTTTGAAAATATATGGTGAAAGCCTGTGCCGTGACGTGCCTTACAAAACACTTTTACTTTCCATCAGAGATTGCGCTCAAGCTGTGGTCAGAGAAATGTTGACAAAATATGGCCTAGAAAATGCAGATCCTACGCATCACTGTTTAGTGCAGGTGACAAACAATGCCAACTAATAGTTTAGTTTACATCATAAATTGTATGACAAAATCAGACTTGAGTAATATTCAGACAAAATTGTTTGATATAATACTCTAGTTTGCATATTGTTGAAAATATCTAAATTTATGTATGAATTAGGTCACTTGAAATATTAATGTGTTTTAAAAATTTTCATATATTTTTTAACACTTAATTATCACTCAATTTTTTTACTATCAAATTCAAATCTCCTGATTGTGTTGATGTAAAATAATTTGGATATTTTAATAATTATCTTTGGATATTTTGATAGCATTGTCGTCAGGTTGAGTTTTGACAATAGACAATGTAAATCCAAACGAATAATTTGAATTATATGTAGTATTTAGCTGATTGAAATTTATTAGTTTAGTTTAGTTATATAAATCACTTAATATAGTATAAAGTAAATACAATAACTCATTTTCAACTTACATTTAGGTTATTTCAAAGGAGATTTGAGATGTAACATAATAATGCTGCAAAAACTAAAAACTCATTTACATGAATAACAATTGCTATTTTGTGATAATTGTGATATGGACAATAGATTAGGAAATTAATATATTTATTTATTTTAGGTGAATGGTGATGGTTCTGAATATATTTTAGATGATGATGAATGCCCATTAGCTATACTAATGAGTCAGCAGAACAAGCGAGGTATGTTGTTAATTTATAATAGTTTTTCAAGTTTTTATTGTAATAAACTACTCCAAAACTTTCGAATATTTTTTTTTATGAATTTTATGAGATCATGAGAGCAAGGTTTGGGATAATCAAATTTTTAAAAGAGTTTATATGCTTGGAAATGTTTAATATAAGCAAGGTTCATGGCATTTATTAATTATAAAAATTTATACATTACATGCAACTTTATCATTTCTTTACGATGTAGGGTTTATATTTTTCATTACTGGGTCATACATGCAATCTAGTTTTATTTAGATTTCTTTGCTAATGATGTTCAACTTGATTTTGTAAACATGCCATCAGTATTGAGGAATACGGAAATGTACTAATGAAGCTAAACAGTTTATTAGTTATTGACTTTTTGAAGATCGATAAATTTGATTGGATTTTATATTTTTTTTTTTAATTTCTACTTTTATACAAAAAATTAATTTCAAACTTTGTTCATGATACCACCATAATTATATTTAAGAAAAAGGTAGTTGTAAGAGCAATAATTGCTTATAAAGTATAACTCAATATTACATATCTCGAATGTGAAGTATCTAGGGATGTAATTTGGATAAAATCAAGTGAACGAGTATCTATCTATTTAATAACTAATTTAACAATATTAGCAGTATGATTATTTAAATCTTTGTAGAAATAAAAGCATTAAATTCACAACTAAACACTTTAGAAAGGGTAGAAACGTCTTGCATTTATAATATGTTCCATATTGAGATTTAAATTTAAACTAACATACATCATTTTGAAAGTTCTACCTCTATATTTGGCAGAGAAATCTTGGAAATATGCGACTGTGATTACTTTATTGAAACTATTTTTATGATGTATTCATAAAAGATATGAAAAGATAATTAAATTGTTTTTCTATTCACACTGGTTTGGACTATATAGTACATATTTGGCAATTAATGAAAGAAGATGGATGAAGTGGTTGAAAATGTTATAATAATTTTTAGTACCATTTGAAGGCCTAATTATAAATATCTGCGCTGAACTTCTTTCACACGATTTTTATCAAAGATTTTATGAATATAACTGCATATGAAAACACAACACAATTTATTATAAGTTAATAATACACAATGCAGTAGAATGTCAATAATTCGACACTATTATAAACCACAGGGTGTATTACTGGAATTTTCTAATGGAATATAGTGTAAATGTTAAAATTTTAATATATCAGAGTGGAATTAGCAGAAAAATTTAAATATTTTCCAAAAATTGCTCAGCAATGCAATACTTAATCTACTTAATCAATAAACAATAAATTAATTTATGAGTGATTAAAAGTATTCCGAGTGGATTTATTATAGATAATTGAAAACGAACGAACACATTAACTCGAACTATTTTCTAAGAGCAAATTTTCAAAAATCGATAATTTTTATAATTGAACCAGTTTCCGTGAAAAGGCCGTGGTGTATATTGCCAAAAAAAGTTTCAACAGTTAATTACGAGAAAACAGCTAGATTTTCACCTAAAACTAATTAGCATCATTCCCAACTAAGATCTTTCAAACAGTTTTTTATTCTTTAAAATCGATTCATTAGTATGAGCATAATGTGGACGAAAAGTTTAACACTTTTCCAAATTACAAAGAAACGGCTCGACAGATTGTCGCACAAAACTGAGAAAAGATAATTCATATCAAAATACATCGATCTGCTTTTAAATTTTTAAAATCAGTTTAGGCGTTTTTGAGCAAACGTCGACGAAAGGCCTAATTTTGACAAACGCCAAAAAAACGATATTAATTTTTGCAAACTTTGACGAATTTTAAACGACTTGTCGAAGGGTCGTAATATTTTTTCATAAAAACCGTCGAGATTTTTTTTTTTTTAATAACCTTATTACAAGAAAACGGCCCGGCCGGTAATTACCAAAAACTAATCAGGTGGACGACTTTTTTCACTTTTCTGCGATATACATAGAAACGGCTTGCCCGATCGTCGCTAAAAAAATCAGAAACGCTAGTCCTCATCGAGACACATCGAATAGCTTTTAAATTTTTGAAATCGGTCCAGCCGTTTTTGAGAAAACGTCGATTTACGGCAAAAAATGTGTTCACACACACACATACTTTTTCCAATTTTGGTCTCATTCGATTCAGAATGGTTTGAAACGTCGAGAAAACATAAAATTAGCGAGTCGGATTTTTTTATGAAAACATAAAACTCTCCCTTCGGGAAGTTAATAATCAATTTATAATATATTGCGTATCGAACGGAATTATTTTTTCTATCGAATGTTTAATTATTGTTTAATTGAATTAACGATTCACTTGGCATTTTTACCCTTTATCAAACGCGGTGATCTTAAATAGGTCGATTGAAAAATGGGCTTGGTATCAATTTAATGCGGAGTAAATATTCACGTCGTATTAGAAACACATGGTTTGATACCGATTGGAACTCAATGAAGCGTTGCTGGCAAGGATTATCATCGCGCCCAGTTTGTCTAAATCACATTCTAAATACAGTCAACCGTAGCGATGTTATTGGCTATTAAGCAAACCGACATAATATTTTATTTTTATTTATCGCATTTGCTGACGATGAGTAAAATTTGCAATCAGGAATGTTATTTAACTTCCCGTAGGGTAAGTTATAGTAATCGCAAAAAAATCGAAAATGAAAATTTTATATATCTTTACGTTTCAGAGGTTTCTGAATATTTTGACATACCTTAGAAAAAATGGATGTATGTGTGGTGTGTGTGTGTGTGTGTGTGGATGTGTGTGCGTGTGTGTATGTATGTGCGGATACAAATTTTCGTCGACGATTTCGGGAACACCGATCAACCGATTTGAATAATTCAAAAAACATTCGATTTGTATTGATAAGGAGACGTGCTGATTAGTTTTTGGCAAAGTCAGGTCTAGCCGTTCCGAAGATACGGGGGCGAAAAGTGCCGAAAACGGTAACTCAGTTTTTAAGAGAACGGAGCATCCGATTTTAATAATTCAAAAATATTTTACGTGTATTGGCAAGGTGAAGAACCGATCAAATTTTCATAAAGGCAGGTCTAGCGGTTTCGGAAATCTAATGAAAAAAGTAAAAAAAAAATGCCATTTGGCGGTCAAAAATGATCATTAGACATATGCACATCAAATTATCAGATATTTTATAGAGATTTTAACAATAAGTATAATTTTTTTTAAAAAATTTATGGGTTCCGTACCAATGCTTATCGTTAGACGGCGGCGCGGCAGTTGCGCGCTTTGACATTTTGTCTCTATGCAGATAAAGCAGTACGATTGCTTTGAAAAACAGTTCAGAATTTCCAAAGTATGTCAAAATGAAAAAAACATTTTTTTTTTCAAAAAAAAATTGTTTTCAAAAAAAAATTTTTTTTTCAAAAAAAGTAATTTTTTGTCAAATTTATAGTTTCTCTCTAATTTTTTCGAAGTAAATTTTTTTCAAAAATGTTAATCGTTTTAAAATAATAATTTTGGTACGGGAAGTTCCAGCAATTTGCCTTAAGGCACGATGCCTTAATTGCCTTAAGACAGAATTCCACTCACAGCTAGTTTAACATTTTATCGAAAAGTTCTACTTACTATTTAAGAGTTGTAGATCTACAAAAATAATTGGCGTTGTTATGTTTATCTAACGTATATGAAGAGTATATAATATATAAATACAAACATTTAAATACGTGACAAGTTTAAATGTGTTCATATAATTTTTGCTAAATATATTTTTTAACATTTACTTGATCATCTGATGAAATAATTACGTATACGTAACATAACGTTTATTTAGTGACCTTTTGATATCCTGTTAAAATATCTTCAAAAATTATTACTATCAGGTTCGAAACTAAGTGCGGATTTTTGTTAAAAAATCTAAGGCAATTTTTTCATTAAAAATTACTTTAGATTGTAATATATTTCTTATTTTGATCAATGATATTTTGTCATCTTTCAAGTACCGCCATAATCCCACATTCACAAAACTTCTTTTTATGCAAGAAACTGAATCAAGTATAATTTGAGACTATCATTATTGAAATTTTTGTCACTCAATGTCTTTTCTAATGATCGATAAAGAAAGTAATCTGGTGGTGCAAGGTTAGGACTATATATGGAAAAACATCTAAACCAAGCTCCAATAATTTTTGCTTTGTGGCCAGGCATTGTCGTGATGAAGTACAATCAACACATTTTTGTTTTGTCAATTTGCGCTGCTTTCTTGCATTGTTTAATTTCGTTAGATGTTCAATTTAGACATAATTGATCTTTCTTTTGGATGTTCGAAATTCAAAATAGTTAATTCCTTGGTAAGTCTTTGATGATTATTAGCTTTTGAGGTTGTTTGAGCTGATTAATCTGGCTTGCTCCAGTATTCTTTCTGCTTGATATTGTTATAATTTATTTTCATTGCCAGTGTCAAAAATGAATAATTTTCATTGCGTTTCTTTAGCAAACTTCTGCTTCTTACAATTTCAAAACGTATTTCGGCAAACCAATTTTGACACTGCCGTTCCTTTAAGACTATATCACCGTAAACAGTCAACATAACTTTTTTTCCTTTGCAGAAATATAGAAGCAAATTATAATGAAAAATTTCATTTCGGTTATATGAGTGAAAGTCGCACTTGTTAAATTCTAACCTAATATTTAATTCTCATGAATTATGTAACTTTGCTTCAATTTTCATAATGGTTATAAAATGTAACAATGAAAATACTACGTGAAATTCTGCATCATCGAAGATTCTGATACAAAATTCTTCCTTGCTTGTTTATATGTAAAATATGCCTGATCGCATAGCAAATAGATAGACATTTTCATAATTTTCACTTCCAAGAACAAGCACAAGAGAGCACTGCCAGGACAACGCTATTTAGGACCTCTGTTACGGCAGATTTGCCTTATTAAGTGGGGAGCATGCAAGAACCTTCAAAAAATCGCTTTTTTGAGGATTTTTTAGGGAGGGAAATAAATATTCAACTAA